ATATATCAAATAAAAAATCCAAAGATTAGTTCATAGATATAGAGACACTAATGTATGAAACAAATCCTCTTAACTAAGTTACAGTCACGTATGTTTAATCAAATAGACTCACCTTAAGTTCATGGCAGATATCAATTAAGTTGAGTATGCTGTCTGCTTTAAGATTTTGGGCATTTAAAATCCCCCACAGAACAAGCTCGGCATTCTGATGCCAAAGATTAAGGACAAAACCACTATCCTGGGAGTTCGTTATTATCACTGGAAGAATAGTAGAAACCACCTTTCGCTGGATGAGATTATAGGCAGTCTGCGACAACAGGACAAGCATACTTAAACCAAACAAAAAGTCAAGGTTACGAGCACATATCAGCAAAGACCAGTCATGGAGAATTACTTTGATGTGTGTCATTCCAATAAGCAAGGTTTTGGGACACTGTGTGAGTGGATATTGGAGCAGAGAACTAACTAAAACAGTATGACCTCTCTCGGCTATTTGGCATAAGACATCTAAGAGATCGAGGGATAGCCATGCTTCATTGGAAAGTCCTACTTGTTGCTCATGACTGTGCGTGTTATTATCAATATATACCTGGAAAACAGATGGTCAGAGTAGTGACACTATCAAGTAAGAACAGGCTCTAAAAACCGATGCGTGGTATCTCACCAGCCTCCTGGGAGAATGCATAAAGGTGAATACTTCTGGTGGGGATGCTATTGCATATTTAAGAAAGGAAATTTGACCTTCCACATTTTTCCAGACAGAATCGCATACAGCATCAAGAGGAAACGGGTCCTGCAAGATTTCAGTTTTATACCCCCAAACAACAGCGGAAGTGGAACGACATATTTAGAACATTCAGATTAAGACGGTACGAGAACACACCTTGCAAGCAGTTTTATATAGCCGCATGAAAAACGAGAAAGACTCCTTATTGGGGATCTCAAATCCACTATGGTCAAGATTCTGGATTACTTTCCTCCAGCTTGTGCCAGGAGCCTGCTTTAGCAGAAAAACTTACGAGCATGAACCAAATAACAATAAGGTAGATGTTTAATCATCCATTGATAAAAGTAAGACGATTAAAAAATAAATTCTAAAAGACTGAAAGGAAGTTTTGAAGTTATCAATGATATTTTGATAAGAAAAAGTATAAGGGTTATAGATAACTTACAAGCTGGTTGATTGTGTCAATTAAGATGTCAACACTCCACGACCTTGGAGTGGAAAGTTCAGTGGGAATGGAGCAACCAAGGACCAGACTGAATGCTGAAAAGGCGGTGTGGTTATCTTCAAGATCAGCACATGTACGAGCAACATTACCAAGAATCCTTGAGATAGTAGCCTCTGTTAATGGTGCAAAACTAGACAAGATCTCCTTGCATTGTTGCGCATCAGCAGTAACACCGGAACCTAATTCTCCCATGAGATCTCCAACAGAAATTTCCTTATCGATCTCAGCTAAGATAGCATCAAAATCGTTTTCAGAGGAATCAGTTTGAAAATCCATGCTCCTGCAGCACAAGAGAAAAGGGATGAGAGTGAGAAGCTGGACATATGGATTGAAAAGGGGAGGGCGGCACCTGAAAACGTCAGCTTCGTGAACTTGTGGAGAGAGGATAGGGGTAAGAGCAAAAGAGAAGTCATCTTTCGGTTGAGCAGAAGAAGACAAAAACTGTAAGAAGGAAGTCAGATGGCCGGAGAGGTCCTCAGATTTCTGGAGAAACAAAAGAATATTCTGAACTTGCTCGGAAGACAGAATGTGGGCAGTATTGGCACACAGTTGCTCAATCATGGCCAATAATAAGTTTCGACCTACAAAAAAAAAGAAAGCAATCATGAGATAAAACAAAAGGGGAAAGAAAAGAGAAGAAGGAAACATTACCAGTGGTGTGAGCATCAGATCTGTCAAGATCGGCTAGGGAGAGAGCAAAGCTAATTTTGTCAGAGATGGAAAAGTGGAGAGAAGTAGTCAAATCATGCACAAACTCTTCAGTGACATCGACGACATCTTTAAGTGCGTGGGAAAGCAGGGTTCCGAGATTTGAGAGTTTCAGAAGAGGTTTAAAGACCAAGGATATAAGTTTCTCAAGCTGCAGCGTATTAGGATGGCTTCTCCGGGAGGCGAAGCAATCTATGCAAGTCTTGAGAACTGGAATGCTTGTCTCATCACCATAATCAACCAGCTGCAATTGTACCAGAAATACTATCATTTTCTCATCAAAACACTTTTTTTTGAACCAACTATATATATATATATATATGATCATTTGAGAACACGACTCGGCCTAATTAATTGGAAACCCATGCGATAAAAGCTGAACAGTACCTGGCAGATCTCTTGGGCGATTGAATCGACTTCGGAATCGTTGAAGCTCTCGAGTAAGAACCGGGTATGGCCGGCGACCTTGGACGGATTCATCAACATGGCGATGATTCCAGATCTGGAAATGCTTGCTTAGGGGACAAGATGTGTCTAGGGTTTCGGGTGGGGAGATCCAAGTAAGCAAACAAGCAGCTAGGGATTCACAATTTTACCAGATTCGCTTCAGATTGTTCGATTCTTCCAAGTTTGGGTTTTTGTGTGAGCTTTTCTCTGAATTTGCCACTTTATACATACTGTATGTTCTAAATAGGCCTTTCTTCTATTAATGATTTTGCGGCCCGACCCTCTTTCTTTCACCTACACATGCAAAGCTTTCCCACGTTTTCTAAGCTCATATGTTTTTTATGGGCCTTCCCTTTCATTTAGAATTTCCGGCCCACTTTAAACCACCCAATTAATTTCATCCTCTTCTCCCTAACCCATGCAAAAACAACTCACTGCTTTCTGTCTCAGTGATTCAGTGTAAATGCCAACTTTTTTTTTGTATTTTATTGTGTTATCATTCATCAACGCACTTAGCTATATTCTTTCTTATCTTAAGTAAGTTGCATTCTGATGGGAAGCCGACTAAACCCATTACTCACTTTCCTTGACTTAATAAAGAAAAAAGGGACAAGACACTTGTGTCTCTTTATTTGGTTTCTTGATTTTCCACAAAACTCGTGGATTCTTGTTTGATCAATTGTTTTAATTTCTCTGAACCCACCAAAGCAAAAGCTCAGAGCATCTTTATCACTAAACTCCACTTAAGGGTTTCTTCAACAAACAAAAAAAAAAAAATTTCTTTTTTCTTTGCTTAAAAAAAATAAAAAATATCAATTGCGGACTGTCACGTGTTAGTAAGACCCGAAATAGTGTCAAAAACCTATCGCAAGCGGTACTGAAATCACGCCTTTGAGAACTGGTTTTTGTGTGTTTAATAGGGTCCATACATTGTTTTTTTTTTTTGAGAGAGAAATCCATTTCGGAAACTCCAATAATGGTGCTCTCACTCTTCCTTTAATTTATGTGTGTGTTCATCATTTTCAACCACCAAAAAGCATCTTTAGTTCATCATTTTCACCCACCAGAAGCATCTTCTACTTTTTCTTTATCTTCATCATTGTTTCTTTCAAGTATAAGATCATCATCATCTTGATTCTGAAACTTTTAACCCGTACATAGGATACTAAAAGTGATCGAAAGGTAGGGTTGTCAACTTGTCTGTCTCGAATGAGTACATAAATTAATTATTTATCAGACCATCCAAAAATCTACCATCTGATATGATATATATATATATATATATATATATATATATATGTCTCTCTTCTTTCTAACTGATTTCATTCCTTTTTGACTGCTAATTATGAGTTATCTTCTTAATGAATAAATATACTAAACATATATCTGCTCTGATAATAAATCACTAGTATCACTGTTATATTATGCAACTCTGTGATCACGATAGGCGAATCTTCGGTTGAACAAAAAGAAGTTCCTCCAAACTGGGAATTAGTTAAATCTTGAAGCCGCTACATAGGGTCCAGCTCTCGCATATTTTTATTTATCGAGTTCATGTTTCATAGGCAGACTTATCATCATCCTAGAGTCACATGTGTTTTCAGCTCCATCCACAAAGTACACTAGTTATGGACATAAACCAGCGTGGTTTATTAATATTAGTCTAAGATACAGGTTATAGAAAGCTAATAAAAAACCTGATATTCGAATTTAAGGAATACTTAGAATAAAATTATTCGTTGTCCGTTTGCTATAAGTTTTATTTTAAACGGACACATGGAAAAAATGCAGGTCGCACACATTTTTTTTTTTTCTGCCAGCATCTACACACGTGAAAAGAAATCCTCTCAAGCTTACCAATACCATTCATGTCGGCTAATCTCATTTACTCACAACCACACACTGGTCATAGTCAAAGATAACCAAAAACGTGAAAACGTCATTTCTCATTAATAAGAAACGTAATTTAAGCAAGAAACGAAACTAATAAACACAAATAAATTAACATGGCTAACGTCCAAACTGATCACAAAACTATCTCCTAAAGTCTGCCACGTGAACCATGCTCCGAACGTTTAGATTCAAAGACAAGGAAACCACCGGGAACTTAATTATAGTTAGTGTGTATAATCAACTCACAACCAAATTTGTAGAATTGTGTCTCTCTTTGCAGTGCGAGTCGCCGAGTAGCATCAACAGTTACCTTGTTTTTATATATAGTATTGGTTGGGAAAAAAAACCACAATAATAAATATGGTAAAAGCAAGCTAAATGCAGATATCAGAGGACATAATTAACCAGACGCTAAACAAACATGCATGTATACAGAGGCGTGGAGATGGATGAATCCGTAAGACAGGAGAAGGATGAGATTCTTTTCTGCTTGTGAAAAGGAAGGGATAAAACTGTCAATCCGTAAAACGTCTCCTTAAATAAAGGGTTGCTAACAAAAATTAAGGGTTGATATCTTCCTCACATTTATCCACTTACGCTTATAGTTATAGGCTATATATTGATAAACATATATATAGGCTCGGCTCGTGGGGAATAAATACATTAGCCTTCGTCCAATTCCATAAATTCAAAACTTCATTAGCCAAGTGAAGACTGCATATGGAGAAAGTGTGTTGCATGTGCGGCGACGTAGGCTTTTCTGACAAGCTCTTCCGCTGCGGGCACTGCCGCAACCGCTTCCAACACTCGTAAGTACCTCCTCCTATATATTTATTTTATCCTATATATTTATTTTATTATATATATATATATATAGCCAGCTGTGCATACATAGCGTGACCGTATATTTATGCATGCCCAATTAACGGATATTTGTTAAGAAAAAATTGAATATATGTAGTTATTGTAGTAACTACTACCGTGAGTTTGCGGAGCCGGCCGAGATTTGCGGCTGGTGCCAAAGCGACGACAAAAAGCTGATTAGCGTCACTAGACATGACACGTCTTCTTCTTCTTCTTCAAAGAAGGCTTCTTCCTCCATAAGTTACGATAATGGATTCACAAACCGATCAGATTATTCTTCCGGTGGCGGGATCAAGCATAACAATAACCCTCAGGATCAAGTGACCAAGACCGTTGCCCGAGGCCGAGAAGCGCCGTCGCCTAGAACGGCCACACGAAGGTACAAGCTTCTCAAGGATGTCATGTATTAAGTCAAACCTGATGAATATATATATGGAAGAGAGGTATTATAGGGAACGGATTGCTCCTTTGAGGCTGTGTAATACTCTACTACGTACGTACCCTATATTATATTATATGTTTATTGTTAAGAAATGAAGATAGTGGTTGGGACATATCCGGGAAATGGACCAGACCACATCAGTCTCACTTCAGTACCAAGACTAGGCGGCCAGCAGCTTGTACTTATCCTCCTTGTATTTATCCATATGTTGTAGTTATCCTAATCATTATAGGATTAGGATAATCATCCCCTTTATTTGTAGCAATCCTTATCTCCTAA